CAATCTGCTTTTGGACGCCATGTAGGCATTTCATGCCTGCTCGCTGCATTGTTCTTGTTCTTGATGTGTCTTTTTGCGTGATATTTTTTTGAATTAGCATTTTAATCATTACTTTTATAATTGAACACAATTTTTAGCATGAGCGCTGGGCAGCGCGCGCGCGGGGGGCTGACTACTCAGAGAGCAAGGTGTCCATTGTTGCTCTGGTACCCGGGCGTGGGTGTGGAGCTGCTCAACAGGTGGTGTTGAACCATGACGCTCCTGCCCCCCCGCGCGCCCCAACTGTCTGGCAGAAACGGGTCCGTTTAAAAACTGAAGGAGGAGCTTTGTCGAGCTTTGTGGCCTGGTCCAGGGGACTGCCCATTTCTTAGCGCTGTGGGCTAATTAGTCCATATAAATTAGAATGCAAATTCCTCACTTGCTCGATTCAAATCTGCATCTGGTTGAGGTGTGCAAAAAAACGCGTCTTTCTATGGACAATAATAGTCCTTGAAGATGAAGTCTGCCGAATTACAAAAGTGCCAGTAACAAGCAGCCATGAACAAATGACAGCTAAATATTAGAGAAAATTACGGCACATGGGTGGTTTTAAAAATAAGATGCATATTGGGTCACATTTTTTTCGTTTTTGAAAACGTTTGCTTGGGGAGGTTTTTCAACCTATAATGCATTAGTGGTATCTTTGGAGAAAGAAAACGTTCTATGGCGAGCTCCCAGTCACCTATATCTGGGTAATTCCCCCAAAATAGCAAGGGCAGCTGTCCAAACGATTTATCCCGTATGTATTTTGTGGGATAATGATGTGGCGAGGTTGTTTTACAACTGGAGACGTTTGCCCATGTTAAAACACGACTATTTTAATTGAAAAAGCTCTGCACCATAAGTATACATGTTAAAATGCTTAATATATGTCCCCTCCGTCGCACACCTAACCTTCAAAAGGCATAATAACAAATATTTCGTTTTTCAAGCTTTGTCAGGGTTACTTTACCACTTCAGAATTTATCTAATAAATTATTTAAACTATCTCAATGGAAAACAGTAGCCGACCAATAGTATTTGATTCAAAATTGTTAATTTTAGTTCCCCTCGTCACGGTGTTCGATTGAGGACGAACTCAGATAACTAAAGAAATACATCTTTTATATCGGATTTACTCTAAAAACAGCTAAGAAACCCGAACAGCACTTCCCTGACACATATATCACGACCAACTACTTTCTGACTTTAAAATACTTTATGATAATCAGTTAAGTCGTGGTTTCATCACGCACGAGCACGAAATAGGGTTAGTATAACGGACTTAAATACAAAGAAAATAATATTTTCCTTATCACCTTCTGACCGCAATATTCCTATTACTTTCTTATAAGACGGTGAGCACTCACTACAAGCTGCACACTCTCAGCCCGTTACTGACCGTTCTCGCCCATTTTGCCCCCCAAAAAATTCCCACAAATAAAGTCCCAAATTTAGTTTTCGCAATGCACACTTTTTCCCAGGCGATATTTTCATTTCCCAATAATAAATTCCCAATTCGGATTATCCAATGTCTAGTTTTGGGGGTCGGCAGTAATTTTTAGCCCGCCCTTCTGCTTTTAAAAAAGCATTAAAGCGGGCTTATGCAACCGCTCTCGTGTC